CGATCTCCTAACTACACGAGGAAAGCGAGATCTCCAACGGCAATTCCGCAAGCTATCTCCATCGACACCTAGATCTCCAAGATCCAAGCTTCCTATACCGAATTTTCGTCCACCCAAAACAAACCCTAGGTCTGAAACCCTAGGCTCTGATACTAATTGTTGCGCCCGGCGGAAGCGTGCACAATCTCCAATGAGTCGATAAGCAACGCATGAAGAATCACAAACGAGTGTAGTCCATAATAGAATGACCAAAACGAATCACAAACACAGAGAATTTACGTGGTTCGACAATTGCCTACGTCCACGGGGAGAATGAGGAGATTTCACTATATGAGGAGAATTACAATTAGTTACAACTCTCTCAAACACTCAAAATAACCCTAACCAAAAGATCTCACTCACCAACAAATAATCTCCCTCTCAAAGTGCTCAAAACAACCAATTTTCTCTGATTAACACCTCTCTTAAAACCCTAGAAAATGTGTTTAAATTTATATAAACACCCAAACCAAAACAGGCTAGGAATCTGAATCAGCCTAATAACTCGCTATCAGTCGACCGAAAAACTCTATCGATCGACTGATAAGTCTCCATCAGTCAACTGATTAGGTGGATTGGTTGACTGACCAGAATGATGTTTTCCAACACTGTAACGTGCATGTTATAGTGCATGTTATCTGTTGACTGATATTGTTCATCAGTCGGCCGAATAGAGACATTTCCTGTAGCTTTGAATTTTCCTGTATTCGGTCAACTGAGTTGCATTTTCGGTCGACCGACCATGTCGTTTTCATATTATTGACATACAAAGGGATTTTCTAGCATTGTCATGACGATAATGTGTCACGGTCTCAACGAGGTGAATAAAGGAATAATGAATCCTCAGGCATATACTTGGTAAGACTGAGACATGTATCACGTAGACTTTGATAACTAAGGTGATAATTTCTTAATTTCTTGGGAGCGTGTTAAAGTACAGGTTCATTTTAATACAAACAATTCACACCTCTCGACGCAACTAAAAGGTTGTTAATTTGTTTTGCAATGGACTTAAGGAGTTTTCTTTAACCTAATATTTAAAGCGGAAAGATGAAAAGGGTTAATTTGCACTAATATATCCCAAAGTTTACACCTGTTCTCTTACTTTGATACTTAAAATGACTTAACATGGAGTATCAAAGATAGACCTTTTTTTTGGAACTTTGGGGTTTTTCTAGGAATAGAAAAAAGAAGTTCATGATATCAATGGTGAAGACTTTGAGGGTATTTAATGGGTACAAATAAAGAAAGATGTAAAATATGATATACAATTAAGGAGGTATGAACCCTCCATATATGCATATGCATGTGAAGAAAGCATACAAAAGTGAGGTAGATGATCTCATTATAACTTTGTACTTGTTATTAAAAGAAGCAATTGTGTGAAATCAATGAAAGCAATTGAAGTCTCACAAACCCATCTCACATCAAAGTAGTTTTAAGTGATAAACATTAAGGTAATCCATCAGAAGTAATAAAGTGAGAGGGAGAGAGAGAGAGAGAGAGAGAGAGTTGGTGTGTAGCCAAACTCATGAGATCAGTCCCCACGCTTCAGTTTAGAAAGCAGATCGAAACTAACTAGAAATTTAGGCTCCTTGCTAAAAGAAGGAATAGAAAGCTCAGGTTCAATGAACATTTAATCACTTTCTAATCATATGCTAAGTACATCCAATTATACGAGTAGGGTTGCCCAAAGAAGCAACTTCTCCTCGAAAGTATCAAAATAAACCCTAATCAATTTGCTCATAAAGTAACATCTCAGTGCTCTCACTAATCTTTATCTTAATTATTTAAAGACCATTAAAGAGTGAAACAAAAGTCCTACTATTTTTGTACTCGTAAACAAGTACAAAGAACACAATACCCAATAAACCATTAAGAAAAGCAAAAGCATCATACTAATAAACATCTTCTTGGTGACTAGCAAAGCCCTAATAACTTTCTTCATGCGGTATCATCTCAGTAATCACCTTAGCATTTAAAAAGCCTCTTAAAGGGGAGAGAAAAAGGATGGCTATTTTTGTACTACGTAGAAGGCTTAATTGCACTTAAAGACCTCTAGTTTCCCGACTTTGAACTTGTATGCCCCCACTAGTTTATGGGCAATACTTATTACCCTAAAATTTTTAAAACGCATTTATATATCCTCACTTGTTTTGGCAGCATTTACATACCCTAAAGTTTAAAAATGTGCACTTAAATATCCTAAAGCTTTCTCAACTTGCTCTTAAATACCCTCAAGTTTGCATAATTAACGGTATTTAAGTGCAAGTTTTTAAAACTTTTAGGAATTAAGTGCCAACTTAAAAAACGTTAAGGTACTTAAGTGCATATTTCAAAGACTTTAGACCATGTTTTAAAAAGCATCCGTCTAGTTCGCCTAGGCGTACGCCTAGGCCTAGGCAATACAGAGGCCACTACCAACGCCTAGCGCCTAGACAGTACCTAGGCTACTTACCTAGGTTTTGAGAGTGCCTAGAGGAGTGTGGCCTGCACCTGTGTGGATTGAACCCTTTAGGTCGTGATTGTGATTTCCTGCGTTCTAACCTCCACGTCCTCCAAACTCCTCCATCGTCCAACTATGAACATCTCCTCAAGCTCCTTTGACCCTCAGCAAAATCTTCTTCACCACCACTTAAACGAAAAAGAAATCTACCTAGGCACCAGTCTGGCGTCTAAGCTTTCTATAATATTGGTATTTACTATCAACTATTATAACTATAAAATAAAAAAAATAAAAAAACTGCCAAAGTTCTCACCTAAGTGCTAGGCGTCGGGTCCAACGCGTAGGCCACATAGTGCTTTTGATAACCTTGACTTTAGGTATACAACTGCTGCCAAACAACTGAGGGTGTCTTTATGGTATATAAGTGAAGGTATATAAGTGCAACATATGGGAAACTATAATGTATTTAAGTGCAATTAAGCCCAAATAGAACAATTAACACAACCTCCAAGAAGCAATTAGGAAAAGTAGAAGACAATATAGCCATGCAAAAATGTTGCTTTGCTAGTTCAACCATCCTTATATACATAATAAGCTCAATGTTTAAGATACTATGATTATATTTTTGCCAAAGTAGGCAAAGATCTACCCGAAAGAAACTAATTATAGTGTATTAAAAAAACTAATCACTTGCTCATTAGAAGAGCAAACACAAAATCAATCCTAGAGGTCACTAAGAAAAGCAAAAGCTACATAAGCCATGCTTCGTACTTATAAAACAACAACATATACACAATAAGCTTCAATGGTAATTGATAATTAAGGTACAGTTCAAAAATTTCATGATCATCATAGGTTTGGTTGTAAAGAACAACTTTTGACTGCATTAACCATTAATTTGACAACTGGAGGCTCGCTGGCTAGCAAGCAAAAATGTCAGATATTTGGAAAGAATGAGACAAAATTAGCCTCTCAGAGTGGCAAAGATGGGTGGTGGTGCAATAAAAGAGGAGATAAGCTTGAGAGCTTTTTGGTATCATTGTGTTGTTTGGCATAAAATTTAAAAAAAAAAGGAAAAGGAAAAATTGTCACTGTTTTGATGTAGAAAAAATTATGAAACACAAGGTTTTGTGCTCAGACATGACATCAAGCACAAGAAAGCATAGGACGAAGAAGAAGAAGAGGGGATTTTAGGCCACAATATTTATAAATAAAGAAGAAAAAGAACACTGTTTTGGAAGTGGATGGAGGCTTTAAAAGCATAAAATTCTTGTTTTGGAGCAAGAGGAAAGAAACATGCATGGGCTTTGATTGATTCCCTTGCATCAAACACAAGAAACATTGAAGGAGGAGAAAATCTCACATCATAATACTTCATGATTAAAATTTAAAAGAACACAGTTTTGAAATGAACACAAGAAAAGAGAAAAAAAGACTGCAAAGGAATCAAGAGTAGAATGGAAATTTACAGTGGAAGAGTCTAAATGATGGAAATTTACAGTGGATCAACAGAGCAAGAGTAGACAAGAAGAATAATCACGTAATTATATAGATGAAATATTTTACATTATAAAATAACACAATAATTTCTAGAGGAAATATCACAAGAGCAGAAGAGAAAAGTAGTAACAAAACCCAAAAGAATAAAAAGCTAATCTAGATTGGGAACTATTAATAACAAAAACTAGGAAAATTGATTGGGGGAGCATAATTAATGAAAGAGCAATGAAAGACAGATTCTTGTCTACTTACCAAACAATCAATCAATCTCCAGAGAAAATAGGAATCACCATGATTTTTTCCCATTTCCAAAAAATCCAAGCTTCTCCCATAGGAAAATTGTTGCATGAAAATTTGGGTCTTTTTAGCTCAACCCAATTGGGTACAACAACAAAATCAGTGCATGCATGAGATAATAACCTATTTCTAGCTAGATTGATGTTTAGTACCAAACTGAGAAAATAATGGCACATCAAACTAAACTAACATGAAATTAGAAGAAAATATTTCGGAAAATGGTTTTTCTTTCCAATAATCAAGGAAAATTAAGAAAAGCATAACACACAAGATACCATAGAAATGGGGTTTTTCCATATTAACTAGAGAAAAAAATAGAAATGGGTGATGGTGGAGCAATAGGATATAAGCATCAAAATTTTGTGTTTCTAGTTAAACACAAGTTAATCAATTAGCGCATGCATGAGATAATAGCTCTTTGAAACTTATTTAAGCACTAAATTAAGCAAGCATATATAATACACATATCATATGATATGATCCCATATTAAAAAAAATTATAAGAAAATATTTCCAATAAATACCAAAACATGAAAATGGGTACTAAAGCAATTGCATAGAATCATGAAATTTTGTGTAATTAGTGCATGCATGAGATAATAACCCTTCTAAGCACTAGATTAAGCAAAGGATAAACACATATATAACATGATATGAAGAAACCCATACCAAAATCAACCCAAAAAAACATCCATCCAAATCATCATCATCATCAAAATCAAACTCCATCAACTTGATTTTGGTGCTCACCTTCAACCTTAACCTCTCTCTCTTGATCATCACCATCCTGCTTCTTAGTCACCAAATGCTTGTTATTATGCATCCAAACCTTAACCACTTGTCTACTAACTCCAATCTCATTACAAAACCTCTCCATTTCCCCCTCATCCTTCTTGTGGATTCTCCACCCGACCCGACCCGCGAATGCCCTCATCTTCTCCTTCTGCTCCGGGCTAAACTTTGTCCGAAACCTCTTCTTTCGGGCCTCGCCCGATTGCAACCCGACCCGATAACCCTCCACATTACTAACATTGGCAGTAACGCTTGCAACATAACCATTGTTTTTCTCCTCACTCGACGACTGAGAGTTTGGTATCGGGTTCGGGTTCGGGTTCGGGTTTGGAGGAGGGAGGAGGGCAGCAGAGGCGGACGCCGATATAAGACGGCAACGAGAGTTTCGCGAGTTGTCGGTTGGGCGATTCCTGCATGGTGGATAGCTCGCGTGGCCACCGCTAGGGCGGCGCATTTTAGCGCGTCGGCGGGGGCGCGCCGCGCATGAAGCTCGCCGCATCCGTCAGCGTTGACGTGGCCGCCGCAGCGAGGCGGCGTGCGTTGCGCGGAGGCCACTTCGCGGTAGCGGAATCGCCGTCGTTTAACGGCGTCGTTGTCGAGGCATCCGAAGCCGTTTGAGCGTACGAAATTGGAGCTCGCGATATTGGGGTCTTGGGATAGAGAGAGGAGGAGGTGGGGAGAGGATGCGTTTTGAGAAAGCCGCGAACGTGGAATTCGCGGGTCGGATTAATCGAAGGAGGGGTGAAGGCCGATGAGGAGGGTCGAGGGTCGTCGGCTTTGTCGTTTTGAGCTGGCCTGAATTGATCCATGGCGGATTTGGTCGGAAAAGTTTGGATCTTTTTGGGTTTCTTTTTTTTACAGTCCCATGTGGGGTTTGATAGCAAAGGTTGAGTCTTTCTAATTTTTTAGCTGCATGCAACCACAAACTCGGAGACCCACGAATCTAATTTTCCAAAGAGAGGATTTTGATGATGGGGTTGTAGCTCAGAGATGACTCAAAGAGCCATGGCTGTAAAATTTTGGAAGGAGAAAGTTTGGTGGGTTAGTGGAGCTTTGCGCTGCACATGGAGGAAGAAAGCAAGAGATGATGATGGTGGTGGTGGTGGTGATGAAT